GGTTTAAAATTGATGTGGGCGGGGCTAAGAGAGAACCAACCGGAACTGCTGACCAGTTTCGAGGAGTTTCTACACAAAGTGACCAGCGAGCTGAAACGAACAAAGGGCGATTATCGGTCGCTTCAGACTGCCCTCAGGAAGTAAGGCTTGATGTCTTGAAAGGATGGAACGAATGAATGAATGAATGGATGAATGAATGAATGAATGAATGAATGAATGAATGAATGAATGAATGAATGAATGAATGTATGAATGAATGGATGTATTGATGAATGAGTGAATGAATGAATTGATGAATGAATGAATGAATAAACGATTGAATGTGAACAAACTAGTAGATAAGTGAATGAATGATATGAATGGATGATTAAACTAAATAACAAACGAACAAACGAACGAACGAACGAATGAAAGAACAAACAAACAAATGAGCAAACAAACGAATGAATGAATTAATAAAAGAATAAAGATAAAAATGGATGAATGAAGTAATTCATTTCACCAGTAAAACGCTATCGCACGACGAAGAGATGAGGAAACTGTACGAAGAGATGGAAGTGCAGATTAGTGCGGAGAAACAAAAAATACTGACTGAGGTGAAGACAACAATGAATAAGATTATTATTATGATTATTATTATTTATATTATTATTATTATTGTTGTTATTATTATTAACATTGTTATTATTATTATTTATATTATTATTATTGTTATTATTATTATTGTTATTATATATATATATATATATATATATAATTAAAATCAATTAGGAACGACAGAAGGAGAAAATACTGAAAGATGATCTAGAGAAGGAATTGAAAGAGAAAGATAGGCAGTTGCAGGATCTGATCATCAACCATCAGAAGGTAATGATGATGATGCTGATGATGACGACGATGATGATGCTGATGATGACGATGATGACGATGATGATGATGATGATGATAATGATGATGATGCTGATGGTGATGATGATGGTGGTGGTGGTGATGATGATGGTGATGATGATGGTGATGATGACGACGATAATAATGATGATGGCATGGTGGTGATGATAGCCGGTAATGATAATGATGGTGATAGTCTTGATAATGATGATGATCATTATCATCATCATTAATTTTATCCCCGATAGATGGAGCAGATGCTAAAAGGAATGAACGACCAGGAGTTTGAGACGAAGCAAGAGAACGAAAAACTAGCTAGGGTGAGAGGAATATTATTATTATTATTAATATAATTATTATATTATATTATTAATATTATTATATTAATGTTGATAATAATAATATTATTAATATTATTTATTTAGGACAAGAGGTCATTGGAAGCCATGTTGGACGAATCACAGAGAAATCTTGATGAGAGTAGGTCATACATCAACCAATTAAAATCTCAACAGAAAGAAGAGAAAAGAAATAGAGCTCTGTAAGAAGGATGGATGGATGGATGGATGGACGAATGAAAAAATAGATGGATAGATTGATACATGAATGAATGAATGACAAATTCATTCATTCGTTTTTTATTCGCGTTTTTTCTTTCATCGTCGTATCGTTCGAATATTCGTTAAATCAGATGTAAGTTAGTGAGTTTGATTATTTTTATATTCATTCATTCATTCATTCATTCATTCATTCATTCATTCATTCATTCATTCATTCATTCATTCAATCAATCATTAATTCAAACACAACAACAAAGAGCTGCTTTGCAAGTTACTGAAGGAATAGCAATGGAAAGAGAGAGTCTTGTTAAACAGCTTGATCTTTTGAGGTTTTCTTTTTCATTCATTCATTTCTTCATTCATTCATTCATTCAATCATTCAATCATTCATTCATTCACATTCATTCAATCATTCATTTATTCACATTCATTCAATCATTCATTCATTCACATTCATTCATTCATTCATTCATTCAATCATTTTTTCAAAAATTTCTCACAGAGAGATAAACAGAAAACTGAGGGACGAAAGAGACGAGGCTGAATTAAGAAGAGTAAGTTATGATAATGATGATGATGATAATAATGATGAAGAGGACGACGACGACGATGATGATAATGATGAAGAGGACGACGACGATGATGATGATAATGATGAAGAGGACGATGTTGTTATTCATTTGTCATCGGTACATGTAGACTTTTTGTTATTTTCATTCTATACTAACTGCTAACAATAATTTTAAAAATAAAATAATAATAAAACAACAATAATAATAATAATAATATTTATTATTTTATAATAATAACAATATTAAAAAGCTGGATTATGTTAGGAGGAAGAAGTGGTCATTTGATGATGTTGAGAGTGAGGTAGGAAATTGGAGCAACATGCATACAAACATACAAACATACAAGCATACATACATTCATACATACAAACATACAAACATACATACATACATACAAACGGCTTTGCAAAGCTATATTGGATTATTTTTATTGATTTTTCAGTGAAAAGTGAACTGAAGATAGCGGATGTTTTTGTGCTTTTACTTGTTTATTTGGGGTAAATCATTCTGATTGGCTAGTAAAAACACACGCTGCTGCCCTGGTTTCATTTTCAACCAATCAGATTTGAGTATAATTTTAAACGTGGCTTGATATAAATTATTTTTTATGGGATTTGTTTGTAATGTATTTCCTCTTTTCAGCTGCTGAAGATATTGTTATTTAAAATTGATGATGATGACGATGATGATAACGATGATGATGATGATGATTATGATGATGATGATGATGATGGTGTTGATGATGATGACGACAAGATATTGATGATGATAACGATGATGATCATTCCATGAAACCTGGTTAAATCAATGAATAGATAAACAATAGGCCAATAATGATGAGATTAATATTAATAATAATAATCATTATAGTAAATAAAATGATAATAATAAAATATTAAAGAATATTATTATTATTATTATTATTATTATTATTATTATTATTATAAAACCCACATTAAATAATAATTTTGACAAAATGCTTCTTTCGTTTGTTGCTTTCTATCCATCGCTTATACATATATATAATCATATATAATATATATATATGTATCTATATATATTATGTATGTATATACATATATGTATATTATGTATATATGTATATATATATATATATATATATAACATATATATATATTATTCACATTTAAATAATTGTTTTTATTTTTTTTACAGATGAATGGAAATAATTTAGGAGAGGTAATCGTCATCATCATCCCCCTCATCATCATCATCGTCATCATCATCCCCCTCATCATCATCATCGTCATCATCTTTGACGTCATCATCATCATCTTCTTCCTCTACTTCTTCATCATTACCAAAATTACCTCATACAAACACACACACGCGCACGCACACACACACACAAACTCACATACACACACACACGCACAAATAAACACACACGTACGCAGTTCGGAGAGTTAGCCCCAAACTTCCAAAGATCTTCATCCTACATGCGGGAAGGCGATTCGGCCATAGACAGTTCAAACTCCACAAACACCATAAACAGCCCCCAATCAGACGGCGGGGGTGGTGGAGCGGTGCCCAGACGTCTGCAAATGAAAAGGGGTTCGGTACTGTCTGACTATATTCCTAATATGGCTTGGAGGTTGATGATGGTGATGATGATGATGATGACGATGATGATGATGATGGCGATGATGATGATGATGATAACGGCCAGACATTATGACCGCCAAAGAAAAAGGAGCCGCAAATCTTACAAAAATTCTCCCTTGGGTTGAAAAAATTTGCTATTTATGTACATATGCGGCCCTTACAACAACAAGTTTGCCCACCCCTAAATTAAAAAATCTCCTACTATATCTCTCACTCACTCATTCAATCAATTAATTAATTAGTCAATCAATCAGTCAATCAATCAATCAATCAACCAACCGATAAATCAATCAATCAACCAACCAATCAATCAATCAACCAACCCATCAATCAATCAACTAATCACGAAACAAAACTCTAGACCAAGTGTTGATGATGATATGTTTGAGGAGGAGATTGAGTGTGATGATGATAGCATGATCCAACCACAACACATCAACGTCTTCGGTTCAACTGCACCAAGAAGCTTGGAAGATGACGATGATAGGTGAGGGAATGAATGAATGAATGAACGAACAAACGAACGAACGAATGAATGAATAATAAAATGTGTGAGTGAATAGTAAATGAATAAAAATGGAGTGAGTGAGTGAATGAATGACACAAACAATTTTTTTTTCAAATGTGCCTAGAAAGAAGGCTAGGTGATTATGATAATAGATGAGTGAATAAATTCATTCATCAATTTAGTCATTTTTTATGCATTAACTCATTTATTTATACATTCATTAATTCATTAATTTATTCGTTCATTCATTCAATCTGGCAGAAGAAGTCGTTCTAGTCAAAAGCGTGAACAACCCGTTGGGGCAAATAGTTCTATAGATCTCCATGAAAGTAGATTTCAAGTCAGCCGTTCATTCATTCATTCATTCATTCATTCATTCATTCATTCATTCATTCATTCATTCATTCATTTATTCATTCATTTATTCATTAATTCATTAATTGATTCATTCATTTATTCATTCATTCATTCATTCATTCATTCGTTCGTTCATTCATTCATTCATTCATTCATTCATTCATTCGTTCGCTCGTTCGTTCGTTTATTCATTCAATTTTTATTAATCATTTCACTCACCCGTTTATTTCTCAAAGATAAAAGCAACAATGGATGGCAACAATAATTATTAGAATAATTATAACTATAATTATTAGAATAATTATAACTATAATTATTAGAATAATTATAACTATAAATATTAGAACAATTATAACTATAAATATTAAAATAATTATAAATTTTAGAATAATTATAATTATTAGAATAATTATAATATCAAATATAAGAATAATTATAATTATTAGAGTAATTATAATTAATATTATATTTATAAAGAATTATGAATCTATGGCCCCGGAAAGAGTTTTCAAGGTCGTTTTTGTGGGTGACTCTGGTGTCGGCAAGAGTAGCTTCATCCATCAGTTCTGCTGCAATGCGTTCAAGCCTGCATTCCAAGCCACCATTGGTTAGTTGTTGGTTGGTTGGTTGATTGGTTGATTGGTTGGTTGGCTGGTTGGTTGGTTGGTTAGTTGGTTGGTTGGTTGGTTGGTTGGTTGGCTGGCTGGTTGGTTGGATGGTTGGTTGGTTAGTTGGTTGGTTGGCTGGTTGGTTGGTTGGTTGGTTAGTTGGTTGGTTGGTTGGTTGGCTGGTTGGTTGGTTGGTTGGATGGTTGGTTGGCTGGTTGGTCGGTTGCATGGTGGTGATAGTAACGATGATGATGATGACGATGATGATGATGATGATCGTGACGATGATGAAGAAGACGATGATGATGATGGTTGATGACGCCACCAATCGAATCAGGCGTGGACTTCCAAGTGAAAAATATGAAAATCGACAGCCACATCATCGCCATTCAAGTCTGGGACACTGCGGGGCAAGAAAGGTGATGACGACCGCGACGATGATGACATCAGAGACGATGATGATGACGTCAGAGACGATGATGATGACGCAATCATTTACAAAGTCACCAAATTACTACAACTACTACTACCTCGACAGATTCCGCAGCATCACCAAACAGTACTTCCGCAAAGCTGACGGCGTCCTAGTCATGTATGACGTCACTAACGAGTCGTCCTATCGCAACATCAGAAACTGGATGGGCAGTGTCAAGGTCATTCTGGTGATGATGACGTCATTTAGATGATGATGATGATGAGGAGGAGGAGGATGATGACGTCGTTAATTCATTCATTTAGTCGTTCGTTCATTCGGTTGCACATTAATTCTTTTCTTCACTATTTCAATCAGGATGGCTCGGAAAATATTTATTCATTCATTCATTCGTTCGTTCGTTCGTTCGTTTGTTCATTCATTCATTCATTCATTCGCACATTCAGTCACACATTCAGTCACACAATCATTCATTCGCACACTCATTCATTCATTTGCACACTCATTCATTCATTCACTCACTCACTCACCCAATCAACCAATGACAGGACGGCACGGAAGAGGGCACGGTAATTATGATCGTTGGTAACAAGATGGACCTCGTGGACGAAGGCAGCCCCCAAGTCGTAAGCGCCAAGGATGGTCAGCGGATTGCCGAGGTAGTCCTTCCATCATCATCATCATCGTCGTCGTCGTCGTCATCACCATAATCATTATTATTATTATTATTGTTGTTGTTGTTGTTGTCGTTGTTGTTGTTGTTGTCGTTGTTGTTGTCGTCGTTGTTGTTGTTGTCGTTGTTGTCGTTATTGTTATTGTTATTATTATCATTAGGAATATGGCGCATTGTTCCAAGAAGCGAGTGCCAAGACAGGATCTTACGTCTACGAGTCCGTAGAAGCTATGGCCAGGTAACTTATTATTATTATTATTTATTATTATTATCATTATTATTATTATCATTATTATTATTGTTGTTGTTGATATTATTATTGTTGTTGTTGTTGTTGTTGAGGTTGCTGATGGAGAGAGAGGATCAGAACATGGAAAAGGTACTCCAGCTAACCGCAGCAAGCAAGAAAAAAGGATGCTGCAAATAATAATAATAATAATAATAATAATCACCAATAATAATAATAATAACGATGTATATTGTATTTCGTTTATGTTTGTATACATTGTATAGTTTTGTGTGTATATATATATAAAAATGTATGTATATATTTGTAATGTCTTTCGTCTCTGTATTAATACATTCCATGCCTTATTGAATAGTTCAATTCGTTCCGTTATTCATCCATTTATCCAGATATATAAATATTCATTACCATTTTTTCTGTCTTTCATTTGTTTGTTCTTTCAATCGCTTGTTTTTTCGTTAATTCATTCATTCATTCGTTCGTTCGTTCGTTCATTCATATATCATTCATTTATTTATTCGTTCGTCTACTCATTCATTCCATTTTAATTTTAAACTTTCCGCTTATATTTGAACTTGAATTTTTTTTTTGCTTTTATTTTTGGACATTTTTGAGATACTTTGTCTTTTTCCATTGTAACGTTGAAAATAACAACAATAATAACAACAATAGTAATAATAATAATAATAGCCAAAATAATAATAATAAGGGCAGCATGGGTTGTACAATGTCTAGAGAGCGTTATGCCAAATTGGAAGACGATCACAATGTTACACACTAAACAACAAACAAAAAAGACTGATGAATTGAAAAAATATGCCTGTTGATCGAAATATCGACACCGACTGATACAAATGTTGCTTCAAAAGAGGAGGCGGAACAAAGATGCAAGAATAAAGATCCGGGAATTGGAATCTCCTGGATGGGATGTAAAGTGTTACCAATAGTAGCGCGAGTTTTAGGAATATTCAATAAAAAATAGGACAATAAAAAAACTTAGAGACCATACATGGGAAACCGGAGAAAGAAGAAACTCAGAAAATTGTCCCACTTGGGACTGCACATTACCTTAGAAAGCTTCTTTGGATGATATTCTTTGGACTTAAAAGAGCTGTAAACCATCTGTAAATTGTAAAAACAAACATGTAAATCATCTGTAAGCCGACTTAGACCCTGATCAGCAAACAACAACAACAATAATAATAATAATCATTCCAACCCCTGGCCACCAAACCACTCGAAAATGAGATTTGTTATTATTATTATTCCCATTATTATTTATTGTTGGTGTTATTATTATTATTCATATATTATTATTATTATTTATTATTATTAACTATTATTAACTATTATTAAAATATGAAGTATTTAAAGAGTCTATTTTTGCTATTTATAATATACAAGACATGGTATGGGTAATATAAATATCATACGTAAGTATGTATGTATGTATATATACTAACATACATATATATATATATATATATATATATATATATATATAGTATGTAATATATATATATATGTATATATATTCATATAAAATAGGTTTTCAAAAAATATTTTTAATAATAATAATAATAATAATAACAATAATAATTTCATCTTTTTATTGACATATGTTGGTTTATACTTATGTAATGCATTAGATAAGTTTCTAATTCATGATGAAAATAATTATATAATAATTATATATATATATATAATTATATATTATATTATAATATAATAATTATTATTACGTATAATTAAATATTTATAATCATATAATGTACAATTTTTCTTCCGTGTTCTTTCTAAAGAATCAAAAACATCACCGTATCGCAATATAGTTAAATAAAACCTTTAAAAAAATCTTAAGTGATGTTATCAGTTAGGTCAGAATCGTCACCACCACACCCCCACCATCATCATCATCAGCAACATTGTGATGGGATTAAAATAAAAAGTTTTTTTAAATGTCAAGGTCGGTCCCATCCTTTGATACGTTGTTAGTTCTTGGCAATCCCGTATTTCATAGGACGCTTGCTTCAGTGAACTCCTTCAGCGTCATACATTTTATAGGACTGTTAATAATTATCAAAATGACGTCATGCGCCAACGATCACGCCACTGTTTCAAAATTAGTAACTTTCAAACTGATATTCAATGAAAGATATCATTTTGTTACGTTCGAAGAGAGAGTTTCCAACTCGTTTACCACCGAAAGAGTAGGTAACAAGAAACACGTCAAAATCGATTGGAAACCGATTCAATTCCGGTACTAAAACGAAACGAAAATAGAAATATGGTTGAATTGAATCGATAATTTCGTATTATAATATATATATATATATATATATATATATATATATATATATATATATATATATATATATATATATATAGAGAGAGAGAGAGAGAGAGAGAGAGAAAGAGACCAGAGATATGCAATGTTTTGTAAAACCTTTTTTTTAAATTTCCGTCATCCCGTATGCCTAGTATATTTTCAACAATGACAGATAAAAAAAGTCAAGACAGTTATAATAACAACAATAATATTAACAATAATAACAACAACAATAATAATAGCAACAATAATAAATATATCACTATTTAAAAATAAATTACTTTAAAATTTCTAAACAATTTCAAAGTTCAACAGGTCATTATTATTGTTATTATTATTATTATTATTGTTGTTATTATTATTATTGTTGTTGTTATTATTATTATTGTTATTATTATTATTATTGTTGTTGTTGTTATTGTTGTTGTTATTATTGTTATTTATCGTAAAACAAACATCCTCTCAAAGTATTTGTTAAGGCCTTAACTACAAAGATAATAAATAGTTAATATAGAAAAATGAAAATTAATATATATATCATAGATACATATATTAATTTTCATTTTACTTAGGGGATAAGCTGAATGCGGATGGAGGATGTTTGAGCGCAGTTACGGCTAGAGTTCGTGTGGGATGGATGAAATTTAGGGAACTGGGTGGGGTATTGTGTGGAAAGAAATGGTCAGTGAAGATGAAAGGGAGGGTATATAAAGCATGTGTGAGAGCAGCGATGGTATATGGTGGTGAAACTTGGGTGTTGAGGAGAGAGGAGGAAAGTGTACTGCAGAGGGCTGAAAGAGCTATGGTTAGGATGATGTGTGGGGTTAAAGTGAAGGATAGGAGGAGTAGTACAGAGCTGATGTCAATGATGGGACTGAATGAGGACATTGTGACATTGATAAGGAGATCGAGATTGCGGTGGTATGGACATGTGTTGAGAAGGGATGAAAGGGTCGGGATTAGGCGAGCGTTGGAGTTCGAGGTTGAAGGAGTGGTAGGAAGGGGTCGTCCGCGATTGGGATGGAGAGAGCAGGTGGAGAAGGACAGGGTGAAAGCGGGGTTGCGTGATACTGAGGCGAGTGACAGATGTGGATGGCGTCGAGGGGTATTTCGGTTTCATCATAGGTAGCCAAACGGCAACCCCCGATCTCGGGGAAAATGCCGTCTAAACGTGTGTTGTTGTTGTTGTATATCATAGATACATATATCTAATAGATACATATATCTATATGCATCTGTCTGTATGTAGGTGTTTATGTATGTGAGAAAGAGAGAGAAAGAGAGAGAGAGAGAGAGAGAGAGAGAGAGAGAGAGAGAGAGAGAGAGAGAGAGTAACACCTTAATTATTCTTCTTTCTCATAAACTTATTGAGATACTTAAACGCAATGCTGATAGCAATCGGCCAAAGAATTAGGAATGCCAGCATTTTTCTACCACCAGAGCCCAAAGGATTGCTGAATGACATCTGGAATGATAGTAATTATGATATAATTACTAAAAATAATTATAATATAGTTATTAATAATAATTATGATATAATTATTAATAATAATTTAATAACAAATAATAATAAAAACGATAATGATAACGGTGATGATGATAAAAAGACGAGAGGATGATAATAAATAATAATAAATAATAATAATAAATAATAATAATAAATAATAATAAATAATAATAATAAATAATAATAATAAATAATAATAAATAATAATAATAAATAATAATAAATGATAATAATAAATGATAATAACAATAATAATAATAATAGTAATAATAATAATAACCCTGTCTTCGTTTAGTCTTTGTAGCCTTTCAAGTCCATCTTTTAGAGAGTTCAAATCGCTCTGCATTTGCTCTATCATGCTTAGTAGTTTATTATCAATATCTATGTTATTATTATTATTGTTATTGTTGTTGTTGTTGTTGTTTTTATTATTATTATTATGATTTGAAGTGGCGGTAGCAGTGGGGCGAAGATGATGAAGGTGTCGGTCATATATGCTCTTAACGTCATCATCATTATTATCATTATTAACGTGCGAGTGAGTGTCTTGATGATGATGTTGATGCTGCTGATGATGATGATTGTGCTGGAAGTTACTAAGATGATGATGATGATGATGGTTACAATGGTGATGATTCTGTTGTTGGTGGTGGTGGTGATGATGATGATGATGGCCGGGAATGGAATGATGAGTGTTGCTAACATCATGGTTACTATAACTTGTTATATTGTTACTTTGAGATGATGATGATGATGATGATGAGAAGGAGGAGGATGATGATGATGGTGTTGCAGAAGACGATGATGATAGTGATGCTACGGATAAAGTGAGTAACTCATTCCCCTGTTTATGATTAGGACAGCATCCAACATCTGGAGCCACGCAGTCGGAATTCGCCATCACGTAAATTGTATCCGTGATCACTGTCCCTATGTCATCTGCCTCTGCTAGACTGTTGCGATTCAAGTTAATGTTGGCAACATTAGTGTTGTTGTTGTTGCTGCTGCTGTTGTTGTAGTTGTTGTTGTTGGTGAGGTTGTTGTTGTTGGTGAGGTTGTTGTTGTAGTTGTTGTTGTCGGTGAGGTTGTTAATGTTCGTGTTTTTGTTCGTGTCGTCGTCTGCAGTCCCAATCGTCTGAACTTTCTGAATATTTTAAAAAGAAATGTATTCGAAGAAGTTTGAAGAGTGGCCAATCAATCGGTAGCCCTATTCACCACTCTTAAATTTTTTTGAAGAAGTACTCTTAAGTACTTACACAACTGCATCTGTACTAAGTTCAAAGTTCACGCACTCGAGTCAGTACCCATAAAGATCGATCAACTTTTTTGTACTAGTGCTTATAACTGTACTTTCAAGTGGAATAACTTTTTAAAAAAGATTAAAAAACGCTAACTCTTTCACTATTCCCCTTTACTTGCTACAGATGTGTACATGTGTACACGCGCACACAAACACACACACACACTCACTCACGCACACGCACACAAACGCATTCACATTGCAATACGACAAAATGACCAAAAACACAAAAAACACAAAAAAATCTCACCAGATCAAATATGACGTCACTTGTATCGCAGAATTCCTCGTCATCATAGCCATCACCATCATCGTCACCACCATCATCATCTGTACTTTTCATAGATTCACTTTTCATCACTTCCTGTCTACTTTTAGGAAACATAGAACTTTCAAAATGCTCAATTGGCGCATGGTTTCTGATGAAATTTTTCTTAATTTCACTTAAATATCTCTCCGACTTTGGTGTAGTATTAGTCGTGAAAATGATAGTGCTATCATTATCATCCCTCTTATTATTATTATTATTATTAGTAGTAGTAGTAGTAGCTGCAGCAACAGTAGTATTAGTAGAAGTAGTGGTAGTAGTGGTAGTATTCTTGATATCCAAGTTTATAGTAGCTGTCGCAGTTATTTTTGCAGTACTGTGTACAATATTCTTGGAGTTATCATCATCATCATCGTCGTCATCATCATCATCATCTTCTTCCTTATCGTCGTTATCATCATCGTCGTCGTCTTCCTCATCATCGTCGTCGTCATCTTTGTCAGTCTTGTGATTAACATGATTATGGCTTTTTGCATCATTCAGTAGCATGGGATCAGCTTCATCGTCATCATCATCATTTAGTTGCTGTTCCATTGACAATAAATTATTTTCAAAATTATTATTATTATTACCATTAATATCGCCATTATTATGATCATTATTATTATTATTATTGTTGTTGTTGTCGTCGTTTATGGTAATGATGTTGTTGCTGTTCTTAATGTTGTTG